GTTGTCATAATCAAAAATAATCTGGGAGAGGAAGAAACAGTGTTATGCGGCAGAATCTTCGCAGTTTACCGAGCAATTAGGCTGCGAGGCTTGCTTTTGCGAGCCACAGTGTGTGCCGAAGAGAAGGAAGATGCAGAGGTACGAGAAAGCCGCGAGAGAAAGGAGTAGAAGAAGAGTTGGATGAAACGAGATGGAGAACGGTGGAAGGCAAGGGTACCAATGCGGTAGGTGGCTCTTGGCGGCGAAATGATTACAGGCCGCGAATGCACTCACTACCAGCTATAATATCGAGTACAAACGCAACCAAAAGTATCGGAGTCAAGTCCCCGAAAATCTTCTCATGCACAGATCCTCTGCTCAACATTAATTCCCTTCATTTTTTTACGTACGCAATGATTATATATTATTTAAATTCAAATGCCGTATATATATTTAATTCTCGTGTTACTCGATGTCGACAAAAGTTTCAGCTCGTATACATGTTAATCGACATCGTGTTTTTTATCAAATCGTTAATCGTGCATTTCCACACTGACCCATGAATACATTAAGATCGTCTTACTCGCTCATTATTAAAAATTCCAATCTGGATTGACAACTTGTTCCGTACTTAATAATTATTCGCGTCGAGTAAATTAATGTCCATACAGAGTATCTTACATCCTCTAACTTAGTACTTATATTTCTCAATTAACAGTTTAAAACGCGTACATAAATTTTTTAAAAAACTAAATGTAAAACGAGAATCTCTACATGACTTTCTCTTTCTTACCATAATAATATGTATATTTGCGACGAAATGTCACGCAACACTCGATAATATTAACGTGAGACCAATACGGCGCAATAGATTCGTGTTATCCCGCTTGGAAATCTGTATGTCGTCATTCTACTCTCACAGCTTATATTTCCAACATGACTGTAGACAGTTTGTGCATGGTGATAATCCGGAAACGACCGTTTAAACCGATGTTCGACTACGAGTTCTTTCCGGACCCTCTTTTCGATCTCCTCGAATGCGACAAGTACGCGAGTGAATTACCGGTAGTTGATAGCGATCTGCGTTTCCCTTATACCAGTGCAGTGAAGATCAAATCTCGAGAGGATCCGTGCGAGGACAAAGAAGATGTACATAAGAAGCGAAAGCGGCAGTGAGAAGGGCGGAGAAAACTGGTCCGCGGTCATACGGGGCGATGAAGACGAAAAGGTGAAAGGTCGAGGGCTCCGTCTCTTCCCCGTGGAAGTTGCGAGTGATCCTGCAGATTGTTATGGAAAATGGAAAAAGGCAAAATATACTGAAATTTACCGTGGTAATCTATTCTACATAATACAAATAAGTTAAGTTCCTTTTGAGTGCAAAAATAAATTCAATCAATTATCATTTATGTACATATTTGTTTGTATAGATCTCTATGATATATCTTATATAGAATATAAAGAAAAATTATCGTTTTTTCTTCTTTAATTTGCGTGAATTTGCGGTTAAATTCCATTTATGTTCATTTTTATCAATGTAAATTAACTTTGATCTCTCAATTTAATTTATTTTTTATCCTTTTCTAGTTTTAAGAATTAAAAAAAATAAAGAGTTTTAAGAATTAAAAAAAATAAAATATATTAAACCGAGAAATTTATTGATAGAAATAGGCATTGTACTCATAAATGTTCTATTAGACTTTATCTAATTGAATCTATTAGACTTTATCTAATTTGCGCAATAGATTGGTGAACGTAATCATGACAGGTTTTTCGCGCACATCAAATTAATACCTCTCACAACGGTTATTTAATCTCGACAGGAATAACATTACGATCGATCTTTAAACCGCGTGACGCGCTTTTGTATCTCACGATTTATACGTAATCATTTTCTACCCGCTCCTGACAGAACAATGTATCATAGAAGTGCGAAGCGAATGTAAAAATGGATTCTCGTCCCCACCGGCGTTATTATCCGTGAGTGGCTTTCTCGGGACTTGATTAACACGTCAAGCGTTATGGATGCCACATGGCGCTCTCACTTTTTCGTTTACAGGTGTCATATAAATGCCGCACGTTACCGTGACGCGCCTGTTCAATTTACGGAATTTCTAATAGCTTCTGCGCCTCGTCTTTATTCCCTAATGGCCGCGAAATAAAGTAATAACGCAAGAGATTATATAACTCTTTAAATAATATTTCTGATGCATATGCAAAAAAAATGTGCATTATGCATCGAATATATTAGTACATCAGCTTTTTTACGAACGCTTTCGTAGAAATCTCCAAACCCGCAAAATACTTGAAACGATCGTGGACTTCATAAATTCTATTATACTCAATAATATTTCATCAAGAAGATACTTAAACTTTTGAAACTGACGCCTAAAATTTGTAACATATTTACTGATACTGATGTCTTACAGACTCAATTTAATTTACTCATTTAATTTATGTTACTTAAAAGGCATTAATTAATTTCAAGGAATTAAAATGACATAACTCGTATAAAAATGAATATTAAGTATATTTTAATAAAATAATTCAAATTTGTATATGAAATATAACGTAATAAAACATGAAGAGATATGTAATATAGAGAAAAAAAAAATATAAAAAAGATGTACTTAAGAAAGAAAGACCAAATATAAAAAAATTGAATTGTTTGACATTTTTAACAAAGAGATTTATAATATATTTGAATAAGTCCACTGTTAGTTTCGGAAAGTTAAGAAGCAACAAAGTGAGCTTGTAATATTGCACTATAAAGGTAACCTCAAAGTATTCTCATATAGAATAGTTAATCATTTTTAGTACGTTGGCGACAAATGCATTGTAATAACGAATGAATACAATCGGAGGGTGAATTGGAAATAAGGATGTTAGTATATACGGAAGATACGAATCTATCTGCAACTAGATACCGACGTTAGTCGCAGACGTAACAGAGGGAACATCTCGTATTAACCGCTAAATCCTCGTCACCCCATTGCGACGTTACGATCGTTTCGTGTTGCAATGTTGCAATGAAACATGTCTCTGGGCGTCGAAGCGTACATGTTACAGGCTCATGAAAATAACGCGCAAGCTACTCTTTCGCTCTCTACCCCTTTCCTCTCTTTTTCCCTTCTTCTTCTCTCTCTCTCTCTCTCTCTCTCTCTCTTTCTTTCTTTCTCTTTTTGCGCAGTGTACTTCTTTTAGTTTTACTAAGTGGCCATATGGGGACATTCGACATAATGGGGTGGGAGCGGCTCGAGCGAAAAAGCTCGGCTTACAATCGCCTCGACGAGATCTAAAAGAGCCGCAGGGGAGCCAGAACTGGTACGAGAAGGTCCATTATCAGGTTGCAAAACATACATCTGGCCGGTGAGGGCACGTGCCCGGGGCCTTCGGACGAAGGGCACGCCTCCTAAAGCCCCCTTGCCCTCTCTTCATTCCTCACCGAGGCATCATCGTGCTCTCGTCCTTCTAACCCCACGACGACTTCGAGCCTTCGCGCTCTATGCACTCGATCTATGCGATCGCGCGTTCGCATTCAAACGAGGTGTTAATGCGCCTTGTCGACAGCACCGCGGGTGTCCGATCATGTTTTAAACAGAATAATATAATTTCAATACTCAGCGAATACAATTATTTATTATATACTCAATAGAGTATTTCATATATCTATACAAATTCTATATAGAAAGTATAAATACATACAATAAAATAGATCACATATTTATATATCAGATATTATCAAATATTATTTTGTTTTTTAATTACAATTTAGGTACGTTGAAATTATTAATTTTGTATAATTGTAATTTATGTTTCGTCTTTAATAAAGTTTATATAAAATTGATATAAACTCATAAACATAATAAATAAATTTTAGCTTTATTGTATGGTATAATTGTGTATAATTGAGCTAAAGTAAAGTTAAGAGAAGTATGATCCATTCGAAGTAATACGTATATGTTTTCCGGCCAGATAAGAGGCCAATGATGTCGTTTTAAATTAACTGTACATCCGCTGAAAAGTCTACGGCTTATCTTGAAGGTGTCGTTTGCTTAGCGATGACGCATTGCGATGACGAGATGACGACCTTATTACTTAATCTACCGAGTGTTACGAGACGTCTCGAGCCTGTGTTAACTTAAGCAAATCGACAGATTTGTCACTGGCAATCTTAACGACCATGATCGGACCTCTCTCTCTCTCTCTCTCTCTCCTTCTCTTTGTCTCCTTCTCTCTCTCTCTCTCTCTCTCTTTCTGTCTCTCTTGTTGCTTATGTTTCTCATTTCCTCCTCTGAAACTCGTTCCCAATGAATTATTCTATTGGGAACACTGATTATATCAAGGCTATGTACTATCTTTTGAAACGCAGATTAAATACGTCTTAAGTTTATGTATATATA